ATTTCCAGCAAATAACTTTTTAAGCAAAGCTACCCAAAGAGAGGAATCTCTTGTGCCACAAGTGCAATCATTATCTTTCTAAAGGTCGGATCTAACAGTAAGAATGTAGAACTTTATATAATAATTTCCGCAGATCACTAGTGCTCTGACCAATGCTTCACACGTTTATGGCTCATTTTTCACAACGACCACGTTCGAAAAATACAACATAGGCCTCAAGCTATATAGTGGACTCCGGCTGCACTTGAGGATAAATGGGCAATATTCTACTAAGTTCGTTACACATCTCACAGAGAAACCAGTTACACTTTTACATATCGGAAAGGTTAGCTTGCCGTGTTACTAACCTCTACTTTACTCATCTTCTCACATATTCGCTTTTCAAAATCTGCTCGTTCATCAGACCATCGTGACGCATTTTCAAGGGCTTCCTGTCGAAGAATTTCTATTTGCCTTTTGGCCTGCGCATAATTTTCTTCAAGTAGAGTTTTTGAGTTTTTGAAATCTAGGTTTGCGTTTCGTCTTTCTGCGAGCATTGTCATAAGCTTTTGTGTGAGGTTGAACTTCTCAGTTTCTGCTTTCCTAAAGAATTAAGATAAAGAATAAGTAAAAACTGTCAAGGTGGCCGAAAAATTCAACTGGTATGAAGTTGAACGCACACGCCGGCTAACGGCAGCTGATGGCGCATTGGGGAGGTACTCATTGGTGCAGCTTAGCCGTGTAAACCTCATGTCGAAAATCTCTATTGTGGTCGTAGAAAAATAAGGACTTTTATCGACAAAACCTAGCAGCAAGGACATTTTTGCGCTTGGGCACAGCACCATTTTGAAGAAAAGTCACAGACTACTGTTTCTTTACTTTTGTAAAATGGTTTTTTCAACTCTGAGAGTCAAATCAGTTTCCCATGTTTGAAAAAGGATAAGTTATTTTTCATGGGATACCAAGGTCTCATTTCAGTAAACGACGTAAAGTAGCGCAAGATAAACAATGTACTCAGTGGATGCTAATGTAGAACCTAGGTTTAGAAAATCACGAATCACAGTTTTAGTTATCTAGTTTCATTAAACGAACATAACCTCATTAGAAGCAAGCTTCCTCTCATTTTATCACGTTTTTGGAAGTTGATGTACTCTCATTAAATTTTTTTGAGGATGGAAGCTCTTCAGTGACATGTTTCTTCACAGCATCGTGGTTCTGATCCTATGTTACACCTGCTTAAGCTACCGAGAATTTCCGTTGAATGTCTGAAATTTTATATTCTTATTCTGTTTCACTTTTAAAAGTAAATTTTTGATGCCTTTGCTCGCAAAATTTGCCAATTATTTTACTCAAAAATACTGGTCTCTTGGTTTACCTTAATGCAGCTGCAAGTTCATTCGATTCCCTCTTCAGGTCTGAACTTTGCAGAACGTCCTCTATCCACCACGAATTCGTGTTCAGTCCCTTTTCTGAAGTTGCAATTTCGGAATCACGATTGCACTGAATCTGATTGTCACTCGTTGTACAGGTTTTTCTATTTCCGCGCCCTGTGAGCTTTTCAATTGTCTGGGACAAAGAAGCCACTAAATTCTGTGATTGCAGCAACCTTTTTATGTGACTTCTTTCAATAAATAAGCATACCTGAGTTCAAGTTCTTCAGCTTGTTCTTGCAACTCGCAGGACCTATCCCTCTCTTGTGCAAGCTTCTCTTCAAACTCCTTACGCTGCAATAGCTCCCGATCAGCACTCTCCTTCAACGCCATGATGAGATGTGACTGTTCGTTTAATCGGTACCTCACATTGTTAATGTCGTTCGAGTTGAACTCATTTGTGTTTCCTGGAATGACTATGTCTTTGATAAGCATATTTTTGGCGGCGGTTTGATGTGCGTGGTTGAAATTAACGCTGTAAAAAGAGAAAGCTACATAAAATCGAGAAGTACAATAAATCACTTGGGATAGCGTGCATGTTGACTTTACCATGAGTGTAAGCTACTTAATATTTACGAGTAGTTACAAGTTAATAAGCTGTTTTTCTCGAAACAACTGTCGTCTCAGCAACACGGTGGTGTTATTCTCTAAGTCACTTTTTAATTATTAGAGTCATGTGATTATTTTTTTACAATCCGGTACGCCGTAGTTGGACTATTATAAAAACGTAATCAACTATTATACAAGTCGATAAGCCTTAACAAATGAAATTTTGGACCTACAACTCAACTGGTATTTCTAGCGAAAGTTTTGGTGCGATTTATCAGCAGCATTTTCTTGTTCATTTAAGTAGAAAGTAAATTTTTTAGCGCCTGAACAAAAAATCCAATACAAAACACCCAAAACTTGGTTTAGTTGAAACATTTTTCCAACGTGGCACACGTTTATCAACCGATAAATTTTCATCCAGCAGGAACAATTGAACTTATTCCACCACACACTCACCTGGAATTATTCCATAATTCTTGATATTTTTCGATGTAAAAATTCCATTTATTTGAATGTTTCAATAACATATGCTGACAGTTTGTTGTACAAACTATCCTTGTTGCAAGTAAAATGACAGCTGACATTTTTATAGCAAGCGTCTTCTAAGCTTGCACAAGTAGCTCAATATGTAACAATTCCATGCGAATAAAGGGAATGTACGGTTACTGGTGATTACTTGTGGCGAACTACAAAGTGGAGACTTATTTCGTGGCTTGAAAAACTTGTCCACAATACCTTGAGTTTAACCTGGTGCTCTTTTTCAGCAACGGGCACATAGACTTGTTCATCAAACTTCATAAACCTGCCTAAAAGTCGAATGACGGGAGAGACAAGAGGATTGCCATTAACTGTCAATTCTTTTTTCTCTTATTTTTGGTTTTGCAGTTACTTTTTATTTAGGAGAGATGTCAGGCCACGACCCGCCTCATGGTGGTAAACCTGCAGGGTCACGACTGTTGCTGTATCCGGTATAACGTTGAAACTTGAATTCAGCTATTAAAAATTTAGGCTGTTTTTCTTTTCCTTTGTCCCACTACATTCCTCGATTTTTTCTTCCTGGATATCAATTCTCCGCATCTTAGGAAGGTCTGTGGAGAGCAGACGGATTGAGTTTATTGTGTTATTTATCCCGCCTCCACCACAGGATGTATGCTGTGCAACGTAACACTTACGTTGTACAGCGTATATCCTGTGGCTGATAATACATTTGAAGACAAGGCGTTAGGTTCACTTATACCTCACGGTATAAGTGAGAAGCTTATAGTCACAGAAAAGTTTTAGCATACTAGTGCACAAATATGTACATTAGGTTGAGCCTACTTGCTTCCTTTGATTGACCGCTGTTCTCTTACAGCAGATCATAATGCCCAGGCTCTAAGAATTTCTCTTAGTGCTACATGAATGAGGAACAGTCCTGACTCCTTTCACTAAAGGCTTATTCAGCAATTAAAATCGATTTATGGGAGGGTAGTTTCCAGGGGCTGTATTTAATTCGTTTTACGACGTTTTGCGAGAGGGTTCCACCTTTGGCTGTTTCCAGGTACGGTGACTCAAACTTGTATGAGGTGAACTGTTAAATATTGTTAATCTACAGGGTTAGTGGGAATTACACTAAGGTATTAGAACTGTGAGATCCTTTTTCGCGCTACTTACAGTGGTTCGAACAATCAACTTAGGAAGTTGTTGGCACAGTGTGAAGCTAAGTTCATCGTGTTTTTGTCACCTGGTTGCTTAAGCTTTTTCTTAAAGGGAACAAACACAAATCTGATTTGAACCGGCTTCAATTGTAGCTAACAGAGTCGTCGGGACGACACAGAAAGAGTCAGTCTCAGTGGTTCTCTGATTGGGCAACAAAGACCCACTTGTGGAACCCGCCAAACCACGGTTACCGGTTAGAATGCATCAAGAATATGAAGTTTGTAATAAGCCACACTGGACGCATTTTTATGTTTTGTGTGAACTCCACAGAGGAGTGTCTGCATCTTAGTTGGAAGCCCCTGTCAATGGGGTTGTAACGATTCCCACATATCTACTATTCAAGTTGAAATTCTCTAGGTTGTGTCAGTGCCCATTTACCCTTCTAATTTGCACGACTGATCCCTGATTTGTTTCGTTCCAGGTCCTCTGAATTTCGTGGATAAATCGTAGAATGCCCAAAAACTTGAAAGTTGCGATCAGCGAGATATCAACCTGCGTCTCTCTATGTTCAGATTTGTACATAATGACATTTAGGCAGCAAACACGGGAGACACCATCACGGTTTCTTAGCGCATAGTCTGTCCAAGTATAGTGAAACTTCGTAAACGCTACCCAACAAAGAGTTCTGACATTTACTATGACTATGTAAAGAAATTGCGTTTCATCGTGTTTCTTAATGATAATAAAACCCATACCCCCTTCCCTGTCGTTGAGAAGATTAACTCGGTAGAAAAAAAAAACAAATATTTGGGCCAAAGCAATTCCGCGCTTTTTGGCTGAACCTTTGAATGATGTTTTTTATTACGATGAAACCTAGTTTCACTGACCATACTTTGAAGACCTGATTTGGGACGGCATAGCTGATTTAGTCAACTTCGTACTACCAAAAGTCACACTTACCAAGCCATTTGTTTGGCATTACAATTTTGCTGTAATCCATCGGTTTGGAATATCCTCAGGTAAAGGGCTAACAAAAATATTTTTGTCTACAGCACGTTTCTAATGGTGCATGCAAATCCCTTAAACACCGAATAGTGAAGAGGTTGCTAGATTGAGTGGAGATCGAAAGCTCAGGATATTTAAATGGCTTTTTCTACCGAGTTTGCCTACTGTTGTTGCAAAATCGAAATCAGTTGTTTACATAAACCATGTTGTGCACCATAAATTTCTTAATATATTTTAAATAACGGGAACTCAAGTTTGAAAAGTCTCTTGGTAGCTTAACGCGCCTAACCAACTCAGAAAGCCAATGAACGTGCAAATCAGCTGATCTATTGAACACTGAAGCGTACAAGCGTTTCATGTGCAGTCAAAAACTGGTTGTTTATAAAGCCCACGTGGAAAGTTCTAGGCCAGCCAGAATGTGCTACTAAAATAGAACTCATTTGTCAAACGCAAGTGAAGCAGGACCAACTAAATCTGTCTCAACAAAAACAGCTGTATCATGGACAGCTGTGTTGTCCAGTTACACTCAAAGCTGGTTCTACTAATACCTCTTTTGAGTTGAGTAGTATAAGTCTTCTGTTTAGGTTTAACTTGAATCTTTGTCACCGGTATCCTTCTGTCTGTCATCCATCGTGATTGTTGGTACGCAGATGCTTCTGGTACCTGCCTTGCAACCTGAGTGTCTGTTAGTCTTCCTCTGTTCACGTCTGGGCGTTCTGTTAAAATGTTCATTGGCAACGCATTCAATTTTGAGTTAGACTCTTTCAAATGATTTTCATGATGAACCCAGTTTTAGAGCCTACTTCAATATCATAAATGACATCCCCGATTCACCTAGTGATTTCGCCTTGATGCCATGGACTTCGCGGTCACCACAATAGTCCTTTGCTAACATGCTCTCTCCGATGTCAAAATGTCGCCCATTTGCACCACAGTTACGATCAGAGTAGGATACCATTTTCCTATTTGATATCACCTCCTCACTTAGAAGCTTCATAAGACCAGTATTGCTTTTCGGAGTGCAGTAGAGTAATATCTTTGCAGGCGCTGGCCCTCCGTCGAGGACCGATTTGAAATCAGGCGATACATTAAGGGAAATCGTTGTAGGGTGTTCACTGAGGTTCCTTCCCCTCCCGTTTTAACCACAGCTGTTTTGAAAGTATTTACGAGACGTTCTGCTGTGCCGTTTGATTGTGAGTGTTAATGAGGCGTTATAACGTGTTTGCTACCACTGGCAAGACAATAATCCACCAACTGGGACGACGGTAACTGTGTACCCTTTTCAGACACGTGCATTTCAGGATAGCTGAAACGGCTGGAGACTCTCCGTAACTTGATGATATTTGTTGTTATCATCGTTAC